GTGTGTGTGTGTGTGTGTGTGTGTGTGTGTGTGTGTGTGTGTGTGTGTGTGTGTGGCTCCGTCATACCCTCGTGGTTAGTGTCTGTGTGTGTGTGGGTGAGAGGGAGAGGAATGAAGATGGAGCAGAAGGCAGAAAATACTGTAACACACTAGCTTGTATGTGGCTGTGAAAATGTGTGTGTGTGAAGATGCCAAGCTTTTACCAGAGTTGCAGAGAAATCCAGTGGGTTGATTTCTAAACTGAATGGGAGCAGATGTTGTCCAGCAGCCAGGGATAATGCCAGCCATTTATAAACAGGAACAGTTTCAGTCAGTCCACAAAAAGAGAATGACACTGCTATTTTCTTTGTTAGCTCAAAAAATAGGTCTTAATGACAGCCTGGGTTTAACCTACCAGCTGTTTTGTCATCGATTTTACACATTTGCATGTATTAAATCCTGTGATAGTGTGCATGTTACTGTATTCACTTATTTTATGTGTGAGAGTTTATTTGTACTTTTTAACCTCTGTGTGTTTTTTTATCGTCTCTGGTCTCTTTTACCTCCTCCTTCCTTTACCATTTTGCCTCCTGTCGCCTTTGCTTCTCAGGGAGTCCCCGCGCCCCAGCTTCAGCCCTGCACTTCCCTTCCTCCTCTATCATCCAGCAGTCCAGCCCGTACTTCACCCACCCCACCATACGCTACCATCACCAGGACCCACTAAAGGACTTTGTGCAGTTTGTGTGCACCGACGGCACAGGACAGCCCAGTGCGCAGGTAGGTGATTTGTGGCCTCCGCAGAGGAGGAAGGGCCGACCGTGGGGTGCTGTGTTCTGCAGACGTGTAGTTTGTGATCAGAACTGACACTAAAGAAGATCGATGTTGATTAGAAATCACCCTCTTTTCTGTGGAAACAATCGAAGATGCTGCGTAATGGAAAACAGAAACGTAAAGAGCAGAATGTGAAAAGACTGGCTGGATCATTTCAGATCTTATTACTTTTGCAGGAACAACAGGGTCAAGTGAGCCCAAACCTGAGCACTGAGCAATTTTTATTAAACGAAACCAGATCATCAGGGAAGGTTTTAGGGCAAATCCATCAACATGAGGAGRCAGGCAGCTGTGCTTTAATAGAAGATGGGGGGAAAAATTCAGCTGGAGAAAAGATTCAGAAAGGGAGCCAAACCACCTTTGACTCATTGCAGGTTCAATATGCTTCACAATGGTGTGTTTTACAGCTGAGCCAGAGGGGATGTAGMTTTTCAGACATGCAAATAGAGGTAGAAAAGGGTTTATGTGGACAAAACTGTCAACTGGCATTGAGACAGCTGTAGAGAAGCTAGGCTGCAAATAGGGGACAAGCCGGATGAGGGTTTATAGACGCATAAAGATTTGTACTGTTTGTAGAATTTGAAATTCATGGAATAAACCCAAAGAGGATGTTTAAGACTTCATGTGCACTCCAGGAACAATCCCACCTGCCATTTTCACTTCTGTCCTTTGACTTTCAACAACAGCTGTCTCTCACGAGGCACAAACACCTTCACAATCTGTTTGGCTGCATGTAAAGATTTGGTTGCTCAAGGCATGATGGGGGATTAGGTCGTGTAAATGGGGACAAAGCAATACATCACCGCGGAACCGAGAGTTTCCCACTRCGGCAAAATCTGAAACTGAGGAGTGTTTACTGTTCAGGTTAAGTGTTCATTTGAAAATGAGGAGGAAACTAAATGCCAAAGCTCGTGGCAGCACAGAGGGCGGTGTTTTTAGGCTTTGTGGCTGAGGTGCTTTGTGGTGCCAAAAGCCCAATTCAGTAAACAATTCATAAAGCTAGAAATCCATTTGATGGCATCAGCAACATGCCTATATTTATCTTGGCTGAAAGACAAAGTTCCAAATATCAAAATGGAGTATACAGCTGACTAAACTGGCCTTTGACAGACATGTCTGAGTGCTTTGACACACATTCACTAAGGAGCAGAGTAGTGCTGTAAACCTCTACTTTAAACCTTTGAGCAACTTTGAATCCACCTATCAAGCCCCTTTTTCCATTACCTATTATTATCCTTTGTTTTCATTGCTTAACGCTGAATAAAATGTCTTTTTTCAAATTGCAAACACACCTACACAACCCACTCACACTCATCTGAAGTCATATTTTGCACACTTTTAATTTTTCTTACATTTCACAAAACCCTCTACATGGACAACATTTTTTATTTTCCTTTTGTGTGATGAGCTTCATACTTTTCTTCTCGTTTAATTTTCTTTCTTCCTGCTTTTAAGCAAAGTAGTTTTTTGTTTGTTTTCTTTGAAAAAATGTGTCTCTCCATGTGTAAGTGTGAACGTTTGTCATAGTTTCCGATATTTGTCTGCCTGTGTGTGTATGGCTCCCCGTACACTGTATTCTCGGGGTGTGTCTTCCTCACCCTATCTGTATGGTCCRTCTGCAGCCTAATGGAGGTGGCCAGAGCAAAATGCCGGGCTCCTTCCTGCTGCCCCCGCCACCCCCGGTGGCACGCCCTGTGCCCCTCCCTATGCCCGACTCTAAAACCATCAGCACGCCCACTGACGGCGGACTCAGCTCACCCGCATCTCCGTGTAAGTCACCCTCCTACTCCCACTCCCCTCTACAAACCCATACTGATGCCCAGTCGCCCCAAAACCTTTACAAAGGCCAGTTCGAGCTCATATTGACTGCTAACTTGTTCTTYATAAATATCCTATTGATTAGCCCTGAAAAGATGTAACCATCATTGGAGTTCCACTGTTTCTGTGCAGTGCTGCCACCATTAATATATATTATTGGATTGTGCGTCAAGTGACCTGGGCGTGCTTCGCARGGGGGATTTTTATGCATTGARCTAACGCTAACCATTGAAATCAATGARCAGAACGTAGCAAATAWATYATTTACTGATATTAAACATGTAAAGTATGGACTTTATTAGATTGTTGACTAGTTAGACTGCATTTAAATTCAGAAATTATGACGTAGACTCCCYAATGACAGACACTAATGTAATGATTAAGCATCATAAACATCAATAGTCACGTTATCAGACAGGCCGGTTTATTCAGATATTTTCTACATCCAGTATTTATGTTTTTCAACATTTCCAAAGAAAAGGGAGGAAAAAATAAAATTCACAATTTCCTTAGCTTTATTTTGAACCACAGTTTGAAAAATYGAGCAAGAAATAAGGAAGTTATAAGAGTTTTTCATCAGGAAGACACCTCACAGTCCATTGACATCCATTCATTTTGTTGGGGCTCCTCAATGCATTACAGAGCTACAGTGTGTGCACGTTCATGTAGCTAGCAATGGGCTAGCCACGCCCAATCCAGTAATAAATATCAATGGCTGCCACACTCGGTCTGTCCTCTGTAAACTTTTCACTCACCCGATACAATGGCACAAGTCTGAAGCRACTTTTAATGCTGTCACTATGGAACTTCATAGATTTGCTGACTGTTTTCAGTAAGGTTGCAGTCTGCTCAGTCAAACTCAGCAGCCCCAGGAGCTCCACTCCTGTCCCCCTCGAAACCACGCCTTTGCCAAACCTCCTTCAAACTCCTCTGTGGCTCTTTTCAGACTATCACTGATCTGTTRAAGAGATGAAAGTCAGTCATTCATGCACATAAAAGATAAAAAAACGCTACGATAGAACGCAGGGGCACACAAGTTTAGAAAACGTTCCTATTTCTTATAAGTACAGCAACACAATCCACCTGCAGCTGCTGTGAGGGCCTRTCTGTTAAAGAGGCTGCAGCAGTCCAGACAACTTTTCAAAGTTTTAAATGAGTGTAGCTAATAAGATGCCCAACAGAGCGCTCACTCTGAAATATTACTGACGTGTTGAGGTCAGATTTATGGAAAGCAGTGCGTGTCTGAAAGGGGTTCACTCTCTCATCCTCTGAAGTTCAGCCTCCTTTTTTTCTCTCCATGTTTTTGCAAACCATCTCCTTGCTCCATCTTCTCTCTTTCTAAAAGTCCCTTTTTTCCTCTGTCTGGTGTTGGCTAGCAGCTCAAGAGCCAGTGTAGATTCTCTCCATCCTTWAGGATGTGTTGGATAGTTTGTGAAAGCAGAGCAGGGCTCATTTTCTCTGTAGATTCGATCCTTTGATCAAGGCAGACTTTGCATGTCTCTCTGACAGCAGCAACACAACCTACCCCCATTTCTCTCTCTCTTTATTTGGTTTATTCTTTTCTTTTATTTGATATATGTTCATATCCTCTTCTCTTTGTTTCCTTCTCCTTTAGTTCTCTCTTTTTTTTTTCCTTTTTTAAGGGAACAAAATTAGGGCAGTTGGCGTGGACTCCAAAAAAGACTTCATGCCCCACTTTACCCACGCAATCCCCTCGCCACTTTCACACATTTCTCACAACAATTAAAAATTGAGATMAAAAAAACAAGAAAATAAAGAATCGCAGCATTATACCAAAAAAATTGTATGTCTCTAAACATGAAATCTACTTTAATTAGTGTTGTACTGGGGGAGCAGGTGGAGAGTGATCGGAGAGCGGTGAAGCTTTGGTTGGTTCCACCCAGACAGGTTTCGCTACGAGAGTCGGGTCACGGGAGAGGCACAACAAGAGGGGGCAACTGGAAAAAGCAACCGGGGCTCCTTTTACTTCCAGCGTTTTCTCCTCTTCCCTTCCTTTCAGCTTTCCCTCCTCTCCTCTCTGTCTCAGATTAACATGTCACTCCTGTTTATTTATTTATATCAACATCTATATAAATAAATATGGGATTTTGTTTGTCTTCCTTTCTCATCCAGATGTTTCCACTGTATTTTTTTTTTTACTTTAATGTTGTCCGTGATTTTTAAGACATCTTAAAAAGTCATGGAACACACACACCCACCCACACACACACACAGATAGATGCATATGGTAGCCATGCATCAGTTTCCAGTCCTGTCACTGTCACCCCTACACATCCCCTCCCATCCCCTCGACCCACTCAGTTCAAGCAAAGCTAAGGTTCTGCTCAGCCGTCGTCACGTTGGAGTCCTGTGAGCACAACTGCCCTAAATTTGGTCCTGTGCCATCACTGAGTGGTGCCACTGTAGAAAAGGCTCCCCTTATCCTGTTAAGGGCTGGTAATGAACAGACTTCCACCACCCCTCACGACCACCTTGTTAAGTCCACGGTGAATCCTCTATGTTTTTTTATACTAAAAAAAAAAGCTTAGTTTGAAAATCGAGGCCGGGGGCTGCTGAGGAGTGACTGTGACTAACGGCGCAGCCACGTCTGACTGCAAAACCTTGTCCATGTTAGCACTGATTATTACAGACTGTGCGCTGAAGGGATGTTTCGACCAGTTTGAAGTTTGATGATCCGCATAAAGGTTGTGACGAATTAACATCTTACCTGTTGGAGATACCTCTTTGAACAACACAAGTTTGGAGAATTTCATTCTGTCCGGCTAGTCTGAGCCATCTTGTATTAAAGCAGTTTGTGCAAACATGTCATTGAGCTCGAGAGCACCATCAATTTTTCATCATGCAATTATTAACAGACTTCTATGCTTATTTGCACATAGCGTCAGCAGCAGTGTAACACTTTCATAGCAGCCTGGGTCACTTCAAATAGGGATTTCTGCCAAAATATCTATAATGAGAAGCTGATAGCAGTGTAAAAGATTATTTTATAGCCTTTGGGAGAAGGGTTGTGAAATGTTGAAGTTTAGAGTTATTTTGAGACGAGCAATATGCTTTGGAGGTAGGTTCTCTGAGGTTTAGGTTACTAGTCCTTAGCTCATCAGTTTGATCAAACTCTATCTCTCCAAACTGAGGTTGTTCAAAGAGCTATCACCAGCAGAATCCTTACTTCAAAAGGTCTAAACTATCTCCTAAATAAAATATTTAGTAGTAAGTTAAGAAAAAAAAGAAACCAACCCTCGAACAGTGTGAATCAGTCACCACTGTGTCCAATAAGGAATCAAAATTCCTCATTCTTTCCTACCCAATAAACCCATTTGACAGAAATAGTTTTAGCCTTTACATGTTAATACTTATTTATGACACTATAAAGAAAAAGGAGAGTGAGGGTAGCAAACTCTACTACAGGCTGGGTGTGTACAGTATGTGTGTGTGTGTGTAAAAGCATGTACACACTTGTATCTCTCTGTTTGTAGCATACTCCACGCCAGGCTCCACAGCTCCCAACCGGTTTGTCGGCATCGGAACACGGGACAACTTTCTGAATATCCCCCAGCAGACTCAGGTACCCTGCCAGCCTCCCTCATTCACTTTAACACCAACATGTCATCCTCTCCTCCCCCCACCTCCCATCCCTCCTCCTTTTCTGTTTTGTGTCTCTTCCTCCCTTCCCCTTTTTGCTCGTCACCCTCTGCAAGCCCAACTCTGCACATCGCTGTTTGTGGATGCAGCTTTCCAGGCGTCTGGGTTTGAATGAAGAAGCATGTTGTTCAGAGTGAAGGCTGTGATACAGAGGCAGTACTCAGACTGTGGCTCTGATTAACCCTTTACTGCACTGATCAGYGACCATCAGCTGGATGAAGCCTTTGTATCGACTTCTATAACTATCACTTGCATTGATTTGCTGAAATTTGGGATTTTGGTTTTGAACTTTATCCAATGTGTGCATTTTTATCAGCTGTGCAAGATTGATGAGCTTCACTGATGGTTTTCTTTATGCTGGAAAAGAGATTTAATCCCATTTTAAAATGATTTAAACTGTCTCAGCTGCCCTGAAGCAGAGTGCTGTCCATGTATCAAGGCCTTTGGTTTCAGTATTGGTTTACAGTGCATATACCACAGTAGGTTCCCCACAGTGAATGTAATCAGTGCCAGTTAGTCTCAGCTCCAGCCGTGCTGATTTATCTCCACGAGGCCCCACAGTGTGTATTAGTGCAGCTTGTGAGGCCGGCGCTGCACTACATTGTGGTTTCGGTGTGCTACGCCACGAGACTGCAGCGTCTTGGGCCTCCTCCATCACCAACACAACTTTTCTCATTAGGGGCTAACCGCACCTGCCTGCAGCCAACTCGGCTCCCCTGCCCTCCCCACACATGGAAACAATCTGCATTCCTCATCGGCACAGCTCTGCTAAGCTGCCCCCCTCCCCTCCAGTTCATCAGCAGCCCCACGTTCCCCCTCTTTTCCTCCTCCTGCTGCTCCCCGAGCTCTCCACCTGCACCGCTCTCCCACAGATGCAGCTCTGGCACTGCGGGGACATTTAAACACGGTCCAAATGTGTGTCAGCGTATATGCGCATACACTTCAACTTGGAGCCAAAACTCTTGCCCCCACGTTCTCCCGTCCTCCAAACAAAGGGGCTTTTACAGCAGCTTACACCTGCTCAGAATGCTTATTACGTGTGTCCTGCTGTTGGTTAACTAAATTAATTTTTTAAAAAAAAAAACTGCACTTTAGCAGCATCAGCTCTCTGTCAGCCGAGCCTAGTAGGTCAGCGACAGCCTGAGCCAGAGTGAGTCGCAGAAGTGTCTGCCTGTCCTGCTGTTCTCTGGCATATGGCGAGGTTCAGACCGCGGCCCTGCCAGCCCGCCTTACACCGGACTAGCCAACTAGCCAAGACAGAGGGAGAGAGCTTCCTCACTCGTGTCGGAGCAGAAAAGAAAAGCTGGTCTGAGGAGCTCTCTGGTGGTGAGGCCTCCGCTACTGCAGGGAGGCGAGTGGAGAACATAGGCGTGCATGAATAAAGAAAGCAAGAGAAACTCAGAAAACTGAAAAAAAGACCCAGAGTTAGTCGAAGCTCGCTGCACTCCACAGTTGCGTCCCCGCTGTCTGGTTGCCAGCAGCAACCAGACATGATGTCATAGGCAGTTGAACTTGGACTTGAAGGGAGGTAAGGGTGGTGGTGGTGGGGGGTGGGGTCCATGTCCACTGCCAAGGATTACACTGAGAAAGCCGGGGTGAGAGAAAGAAGGGGTGTAGGGGAAGGTGGACCCAGCTGAATGAGGTGATATTATCTACAAAAACTGAAAAAGGTAAATGCTGAGAAGTCGAGACAAAAAGTTTAGGGGTGGTGGTGGGGGGCGGGGAGTTAAAGTGCCGGGGCAAAACGCAGAGAGTTAGCTGTAAAGGTGTTTGTGAGTAGCTGCTCCTCTCGAAGCTAAAGCCCGTGGAATGTCAGCGGCAGCCAGAGCAGCTCAGACCGTGCCAAAGCCTGCACTCCTACCCTCTTATCAAACTGAGAAAACTGATCCCTGGAGTAGCTGCTCTGTGCGGCTTTACATTGTAGTCTGAGACCGCGTTGGCTCACAGAACACAGACATGACATGGAGGATCACATTACACACAAACMAGTAGCAAACGACAGAGCCGCTTCAGTCCTGTGCTGCCCAAAGGGAAGGCTGTAAAGAGTAACACAAACAGATTGTAAAAATTCAGCTTTTGTTTATTCAGAAAATTAAAATAACAGTTGATTTTTAAAGGCAAATAGTGAAGCTGAAGTTGTAACTTTTTCAACTCCTTTTTGACTCCAGCTGAGCTCAGCAACTACATTATGTAAAATAAGTAGCAAGGAGGCCCTCTAGTGGCTGATGAGGAATATTTCACATTTGTATTTCCTGATCAGTTTGCTTCTCGCTTAAAAAAAATCACAACACACTTTAATTCATGTGCCTGCCGATTTGAAATTAAACTATAAATCTGTAAGAAAAAATGAAACATTTAAAGGAATATAAGCTCTTTTTTACAACTCAAGAGGATACACTATGTTGTAAAAAGAAAAGATGCAAATATAAAGACTTTCAAATTAAAAGTAAACATATTTTTGTATAGCTGAAATATTTTTTGAGGGGTGGGTGGGGTGTGTTATMTTTGGTTAAAATATGCTGTATTATTGATGGTGTCTGAAATATAACCTGAAATGTAATTCTTTGATTAATGGCATGTTTAAACCCTGTGTGGATATGCAAGATGCTGTTATGTGTTCATAACTTTTCATACTCTGTCATGCTTTTCTGTATTATTCTTTGCACGCTGCAAGAAAATACTGAAATGAGTCTTCACTGATTTTGAACAAAAAAAATGTACTGATCTGCTTATAAAAACGCATTTTCTTGTTTTTCTTCACAGTCCTGGTTCCTCTGACAAGGCCTCTCTGAATCAACAACTCAATGTGTGTCATGAAAATTGGAAATTTGAAAAACAAACACGTCGCCGCTGATAAAGAACAAACTGCTGACACTAAAAGGTCCTTCTCGCCAAACACTATTGAACGTACTACTACAGAACCTGAAACCCACCCACCACAGCGCCCTCAGCAGGACTCCCACTCCAACTCGATTCGAATAGGAACGTTTGTCCCCCTTCGTGCAGGAGGCTTCRGTGAGATTGAGAGGACAGACTCGGAGCACAGGGAGGAGGAAGAGGAGGATGATGATGAACTGTCTCGCAAACACTTTGAAAATGTCAGAAAGAGAACACGATGTAGAATCCTGACAAATGACCAATTAAGCATTTGTTTTTTTTTCTTCCTTTTATATACACATATACATATATTTAAATATATATATATTTTTTTTCATTTTGTTGTCTCCACTATGAAACTCCATGCATTGGCCAGGAGATCCAAACAAACAAAAACAAGTCGTGGTTAAGGGTGGAGTCAGATGTGCAGGTTGAAAAGCTTGCACGCATTCATCAGTGTGTGTGTGTGTTTTTTTTTTCCTGCACATCTGTCCTCCAGGATCGCCTGACACCCCCCCTCCCCACTCATCCCACCCCACTTGGAGCTCAGCGCCGCTCAGGGTCAAAACCGGAACCCCAGCTGCGTGGTCGGCGCCGCTCCGTTCGCTCAGCCCCTCCAAGCCTCTTCCATTTCCAAATTGGCCAACGGTGGTGACACCATGCGATGGTGTGACACACGTGCACTAAGTGTCTGGTCTTTGTTTACCTGTAGAGGAATCAGGGAGGTCCTGCGGCTCGTGGGAGGAGCGGGAGCCGTGAGGCGAGCGCGAGACAGCGAACCCACGGCAGTCAGTCATAACACTAACTCTGCGTGTGCCCCTTCGTCCCCTCACCTATGCACTATGAATTTTGAAACTAGGGATGAAAAGCGTTGCACATCAGTGGTCAGACGGGCGAACGGAGAGGCGAGCTGAGGTCGGCTGCCTCTGCAGAGACGACGCTGTGGTTTCTTTCAGGTTATGGCCCTGAAATATGCAACAACAACACACACACACACACACAGTTTCAGACAACTCTAGAACAATCTCACACACAACCTTGAATAATGCACACACAGCATCAGCTTCAGATTGTTAGCTTTGATTTTTGTTTCTTGAGATTGCTTCTTTTTTTTTCCGACTTGGTTTTGGGTTTGCATTACCTGGATTGTTTTAAACTTCTCTTGCATGTCATAACATCATTTTTCTGTTGTTTACAGTGATTCATTAAGCTCGGCGCTCATAGTTCAGTTGCACAGTAGCAGCAGTTTCTCAAATCTCTCACAAATGGACAGCACAGTAACAACAGCTCGTCACACACATCCCTTGCATTGCTTCACGCTGTGTCCCGTAGTCAGATCATACGACGATCCAGAGGAGCGCACACACACACGCACACACACACACACACAGACACACACACACACACACACACACACACACACACACACACACACACACACAGACACACACACACACACACACACACATAAAAAGCACACTAATACAACCCATGCAGAATAAATAAGGGAAGCCTTTATATTCGGTTCTCCAATCCGCCTTTGTTAATGGTTTTTCATTCATTTAAGAGTTGTCTTTTTAATTTGAAATATATTTTGTGTAAATGTTCGCAGTAAAAATATATTTTTTTTCATCATGACACAATTCAATGAAAAAAAAACTGACCTCACAAAATAACTGGACTGCCTGGCTGTTGGTTCTGTTTTGCAGGGATAGTCAAATCGGGCTGARATTCCCCTCTCAGCCCCTCTTGGTGCATTTATTTTATGTACATCGAGAACAATATATGGAAGTGCCTCTGTATTCTACGACAGCATTCTAGCATCACTCAAAAGAAAAGGCTAAAAAATTGAGCAGGAAGTTTTGATTTCTGTCTTAGAGTTTCAAGATTAAAGTCAAAGTGGATAAAGTTAAAATAGTGTTTTGAAAGTGAGCGGAACAAACCGAACCGCTTTGTTCTCCCAAAACAAACCGTATTTAATATTTTTAATGTTATTTGATAAACTACAAACTAACAACACAACTTTTTCTTGAACCAGTTCGATAAACAGTTCATCATATCCAAAGCATCAAACTTCCTTTCAGTCCTTCACAATAAGAGTCTCGAACATATACTGAGTGTTGCCCTTCAAGATCACTTAACACAGGACTTACCAATAATGTTTACTTTAAAAAATGTTCTCAAATCATCCAAATTTTTTAAAAATTGCTTATTTATTACTGCTCTCTGGTAAAACTCACATTCCAGCCTAAATCCCTGGAAATTCTGAGAAGCTATTTACTGACAATTTATAACTCCAGACGTGAATTACAGTGTGTGTGCCAGAATAACATTTTTATTATTAAAACCTGCAAAGTCTCTGGGAAAAAAAAACATTTGGTTGTGATTGGTCTTCCTCTTTTAGTCTCAAATGAATGTTATTTTGATCATTCTGACTTTATTCTTGAAATAATTATTTGACGTTTACCTCAACGTTTTGACTTTAATGTTGACGTTTCGACTGAAATTTTCAGCCTGGTCATTTTTTTTTCACCTGAGTGACCCTTATATGTTGTCACTTCATGCAATTAGTCAGAAACTTCAGGTTTTGGTCCCGTGTAGAAGCTGAAGCTTCAGTGGGGGTGTTAGTGCTGGTGCACGTGACAACCATTGGCCCAGGACAGACCTGTATAGAGGACTGCAACCTTTTTTTTTGTAAAAACAGAGAAATATATATATTTATGATATATATGCTCCTTTTTAACTTGTACTACCCCAGCTTGTTGACAGTCCAGTTATTTTCTGAACTCTCACCCCCCCACACACACACCCACAGCCCGTTTCAGTAACATACTCCTTACTGTTACAAATCAGACGACACACGCCACCTGCAGCATTATAATACTTAGATGATCATGTCAAAAAATGAAACTAATCGACAGTAGGTTTGAAGCAAAGTGTTTGTCTTTTGATGGAAAGTATTATTATTGAAAACTATGTGTCGATTGAGCCACGTGCAATGCATTGGGTAGATCATTGTGTTTGTCTGTTAGAGATTTTTAAGAAAGCTAAGAGAAAAGTGAAAAAAAATTGTATTTGTTTCAAGTCCGTAAGCTCCGGGACTCTAAACTAGAGGGCCATGAAAAAAAAAAATCCTAGTCTTTGTAAGTTGGGGGTATTTGTTTTTACTTCCTTTTGTCTCTTTTTTTTAATGTTTAATGTGTAATCATTTGTTTATAAAAAAAAATGTGGGAGGGCTGAAGGAAAAAAATAATCTACACAGCGTCACAAAAAAAATCTATCATCAGATGAAAACTGGTGCTTTAACACTATAAAGTACATCCAGAACTATTATAAACAAATGAACAAAAAGTAACAGACCATTTAGGAAGCAGCATTATTCCTCTCTTTGTATTCTTCTCTTTGTATCTAACGGGGAGAGGTTCCTGTTCCTTAAGGTTGTGGCACAAAAGGCATTTTGGTTCAACCTTTAGAGAGAAATCGCATCTACAAATGTTAGCCTTTCACTGCCTGAAACTCACCAGCAAGAAAAAGAAAAGAAATTAATCAACCCTCCCAGTTTATTTCATTTTTTTTTTTTTGGCAAACATTGGCATAAACACATGGCAAGTGTTCCAGTAACCACCACCCCTCTCCTTTTCATTTCCATGATAAATCCAGAGCTGGAGTGAGACACCTGATGTTGAGGTGAAGTTAGGACTTTGTGTACAGATGACAGGAACATAAAAAAGGGGCAAACGAATCTATAATCAGGCGTAAACAGTCAGCAAGGTGAGCCTCTCCCCCTTCTCCTCTGTAAATGATTCTTCTAGTGCTTGTGCTGTAGTGTATAGTTTCCCAGCAGTAAAAGTTGTCCCTTGAAAGTGCCTTTTGTTCACAGACTCATTTTGTAAATCACACCACCACCCCCACCCCACTTTTGTTTTTGTTCAATTTTTTATTTTATTTTAAAATTAGCTCGAGGAAGCAGGAGCAACTTCTCCCTCTGGCTTCCAGATGAATCCCCTCCATCGTCCCCCCCTTCCCCTTTTATCCTTTCTTCGTTTTCAAAGCTGTGTATCTATATGTTTATATTATATATAGATATGCGCCTTTGTAAAGTACAAAAAGGAAACTGGTGTGAATTAGTTCTTTACTTTTTATTGATAAATGATGAAAAAATGTTTTTTTTGAAAAGGCAAAAAAAAAAACTTGTTCAGCTCTCAGTTTATTTTTCTTTCCCTCTGTCTCCACTGTCTGTTTCCTCTTAGACACTGGAGTAGTCTGTAACTGTGTGTCCGTCTCTCTCTCTCTCTCTCCTGCGCTCTCTCTCTCTCTCTCTCTCTCTCTCTCTCTCTCCATCTTTTCTGCTGATGGGAGAGTGTGGAAAAAAAATAAGGAAAAAAGAAAGAAAAAAAATCTTTTCAGAACTTTTTTTGTCTGAGCAGAATGCAGTTAGCTCACATGTTATTCTTGTCTGTATGCTTCACATTGTATTACCATACCCATCTTCTTCAGCTTCTCCATTCAGCAGCTAATGTAAGTGAACAAATTACGCTGGCGAGCTTTCGGGGGTGTCCTCGGGTGGGCTCGGACGGGACAAGGTTTAAAGGGTTCAGGTAAATGGGGTTTTACCAGTCGGGGCCGATTGAAATGATTTGGGAGGTTTGGGGCTGCTCAGACTAAGATGAAAGTTTGCTCTTTTGTTTTTAGCTATTTATATTTTGGCTTTCCCCTTTTTGTTTGTTTGTTTTGAATTTCATATATATA